TGGGCTTGAAGACCCATGCTAGTCACATTTTCTGAAAATCCACGATACATATACTTTATTATTAAAAACTGATGGTCTTTATGCTGTTAAGCATTATGAAATATTGCATCAAAATAGAAGAAAACACAATTTTGGGTATTGCTGCCATGATGACCATCATGGGAAAACCATATTACTTATGATTGTTAAACTTTTAAAAAAGAAACACAGGACTAAAATGCAGCTCGAGTTGGAAATGCAGTCTAATTGACTTCTTTTTCTGGAAGTTTTACATTTTCAAAGTGTGAACTTGAACTCCCATGGGCCTGAAGCCTTATGCTTGTTACACATTTTACTTACATTGGTATTACCTGTTGAGCATAATTAAAATTTGATGTTGAATTTGCAGTTTAACATAATGTACTTTTACATTAGAATTGACAGTAGCCTATTTTGTTATTTCCTGCTTTTTTTTGGTGAAAATTTAATATTCCACATATTGGCATTTTCAAGGTGTGACTTTGAAGTTCCATGGGCTTGAAGCCCCATGCTAGTCACATTTTCTGAAAATCCATGATACCTATATTTTATTATTAAAAATTGATGGTCATTATGCTGTTAACCATTATGTAATATGGCATCAGAATAGAAGAAAACACAATTTTGGGTGCTGCTGCCATGATGACCATTATGGGAAAACCATGTTACTTATGATTGCCAAACTTTCAAAAAAGAAATACAAAATGCAGCCTGAGTTGGAAAAGCAGTCTAATTGGCTTCTATTTCTGGAAGTTATACATTTTCAAAGTGTGAACTTGTTACACATTTTTCTTACATTGGTATTACCTGTTGAGCATAATTAAAATTTGATGTTGAATTTGCAGTTTAACATAATGTACTTTTGCATCAGAATTGACAGTAGCCTATTTTGTGCATAGTTATTTCCTGTTTTTTGTCTGTACATTTGACAGCTTTGCTGCCTTGTTGAAGTTTAAATATCTTAATTAGTTCAAATAGTGTTTAGCAAATTTTGAAAAAAAATTAGAATGTATATTTAGATGATTCCTTTTCAACTGAAATATTGTGCTAAATATTAATTGATTATTCAGAGGGATAAGAAGGGAGGGAGAGAGAAGGGAAGTGACAAACTTATGGACATTGTAGGGGAGGTATGGAGGACAGTTCCTGTTCATGGGCGCTCGCGCGCACATACCCCCACACACACACACACACGTCTTACCGTACCAAGATTGGTGAAGCAGGATGACTATTTCTTGCCATTAGTCCCATGCATACAATTTCATGGAAAATTTACAGAAATAAGCTGTGCTGATATAATTAGCTTGCTGCATGCCAGGCTAATAATTGCGCTACATATTTATTGAACATGGCTTGTCTGGTTTTAGCGTGAGCACTTTAAGAGGGGAAATGTTGTAATAATGGCTCTCTCAGGATGTGAACACTGACATCATGTTTGTTATTATATGGGTTGATAACACTATAACAAATTCTGTCCCACATAGGATAATAATAATAATAATAATGATGAAAGCAGCTTCTTCTAAAATTTCAACCAAAAGGTTTTTTTGATTAAGTTTAAAGTGTATGATATGAATACCACAAAATACGGTAATAAGACTTGTGAAATTAATGAAAATGATCATTTCTTTAAAGAATACATTGAAAAAGTAGAAATCAAAATGACTTATGACTAATTTCCCCAATATTTGAGTATTTATGCATATTTTTAGGGCAAAACATGTAAAAGCAAAATTTGACTGTATCTTTTGGACTTACAGCACTGTGCACTGGATCCTGGGCAGATATGCAGAGTTTGACTTTGCTATGCAGTACCTCAAACTGGTGCAATTTCTAGTGGTCTGTCATTTCTACTGGACAGCAGCTACTCGAGTATTGAGGAAGGATTACCTCACCACAAGGTAGGTCATTTCTTAAGGTCAGTGCCAGCAGAACTAAGGAGGGAGGTGCTGGATTTAGACCCCATTCCCATACCTAGTTTGAACTAGCAGGATTGATCCATCTCCAAGGGGACTCTCGCTAAATTGCATTCAGCTTAAACGTCTTAGATGTCTGCCACACCTACTGAAGGTGCTTCACAATAGTTAATTACCTCCTAACAGCTTCAGCATGCAAGACATCTCAAGCCACTTAAGCTGAATGTAAGTGTGCGAGAAACCCCCCGGAGATGGATCAATCCCACTAGATCGATCTAGGTATTGGAACGGGGTCTGAGAGTGCTGTAAATACCCTGCTTATTCCTACTGGATGAAACATTTAAAATAGAGGTGCTTCTCAGTTGTGTGATATTACCTTCTTGATGAGGATATACCTGACCACCACATAAGTACTCTTGTCATTTCATTATCACATTATCAGTGTCATCTACAGTTGTGAGAAGGTACTCATATATCTGTCCACAAGGTTTATGTTAGATTAAAGCACTCCGTTGATGTCACAAGTATCAATGAACCAGAGGATGGTTTTAAAGCAAATATTTATCTGTGCGTTTAATTATTAATTTTAACTTGAAGTCATAATAACTCTTCGTTTTGGCCAAAAATTGGATTTTCCTGGAGTAAACAGCAATTTTCCCGTACTTACCAATGGTCAACGACCCCATTCCTGCATTCAAAGTAAGTCTTGGATTTTTTTCCTAAAAGTTTGGTTTTTTATTAAAATCTCCTAAGAGATTTTAACTGACGGAACCCTCTCTGACATTGCACAGTCACGCGATATCGAGCGAGGTTTTCTGGTGACCTACTTAAAACCGCAGGAAAAGCAGACTACAACAACAACACTATATAACAATAATATAAGATTCATACGATATATTCGTCTTATTGTTCAAAATGCATTTATATCTACAATGTGTGCAGTTCTGGGCTATTTGTTATCCGACGCACTATACAAAAATTCGCAACTTACGTCTGAGGATGCCATCATGCACTGCTATCATATTGCCGCCATATGTTATTTTGGTCTCGAATGAACGCGAGAATCCGCGTGACACCCCAACGTCATTGGCAATGGATGCCTTGACGACCGGGAAGAAAGGCAACGAAAGCCCTATTGACAAGCACAGCTTTTAGTTTTACTACTATATCAACCGTTTTAGTGGTGAAATGCAATATAATATATTTCCATGCGTTGTTTACAATGTATTTCTTGCAGAATTTTTAATCTCAAAGGAAGAGTTATTATTGCTTTAATTAGGATATTTTGGCAAGCAATTTTATTGGTCTTGGTATTAATCTTCTTCTTAATCTTATATTTAAAAATATTTTGCAAACAAATAAGGGCTTTGTCACATCAGGTAGTGTTAGGTCTGAACTTTTAGTTTCTTTCATCTAAAACAAATAACACAGATTTCTGGTTTTTCAGGGTCCTGTTTCCTGTGTTTGCAATTGCGCTGATATATTTCACAGTTGTCATGGTGATGGGGATCATCAACATCAAAGACAGCTGGACAGAGTGCATGGGTAAGGGGCTTCCAGTCTGTCTTTCTATCTGTCTGTCTGTCCGTCTGTCTCTCCATATGGCTGTCTCCCCTCCATTCCTGTGACATTCTCTGGTTTGTTTTGTCCATCAGGCTGGTTCTATTAACCTCCCTTGTCTGACCATTTGTGACCAATTTGTCCAGGTGAGTTGTCCACCCACCCCAACACAGCCATTTAACCTTGTGAAAATTGTGATGAGAGGTCAGCAATTAACAAAATCTTTGTTTATTTTCAGAACCCTACTGGCTTATGCTGTCTTCAGCTGAATTTATCCTGGTTCAACTGTTCATGTTGGCAGGCTTCTATATAACAAGAAGGCTTAATGAAATAAGCACTTTAGACTCTGTTAGGAGGACTCAAAAAAGAGAAATATGGATGTAAGTGAACTGTGATAATGGACTGTGGAAGAGGTGGATGGTGCCATAACTTTTGAGTTATGTTACCATTTGTCTCTGTATGAAATCTTTGTATTAAATTTTGTATTAAATATTTGGATTAAAGTACAGAAAATTAGTACTTTCTGTGGAATAACTTTCATTTGTCTTTTGGACCTCAGCTTTTAGACAATTGGTTTGGTGTTTATCTTTCAGTGTTAATTGCTTAAGTAAATTGTTTACATTTTATGACTCAGTTGATGTACATTTTTGCATTATTTATTAACAGAATGTGTTTTTATTTCAGAGTTATTATTTTTTTTGAATTGTCAGCACTGTTTGGTCTTGTTTATGATGCCACATTAAAAATAGGTGAGGGTATGATTCAAATGTATCTTTCAATTTTTTTAATGTCGCTTCAGGGTGTATGCATTAGAAATTAAAGTGATCACTTGATATTCTTCTTTACTTTTCTCAAACAATTTGGCAGTGGTTTGTCTTTTGTATGAATCATCTTATTTTTAACACATGAAATACTAATTGACATGGTTCTTTCTTCTTTATTCTTCATACAATTTCTGCTCCTGAACATCGGCAGCATAAAACTAATAAATAAATAATGAATATATTAGATTATCCTTCTCTTTATCATATCATTATATTTTGTAGTTGGTGATGAAGAGAAAGGGTGCAGTGGAATATTTGTAAGTATCCAAATTGCAGGGAGAGTAATATTCCTCAAGAATAAAGTTTATGTACTTTAAGATATCAATATTTTTTAGAACTGACTATGATTATTATTATAACTATAGTAGTAAATGGATTTAGACTTTCAGACATGAATTATTAAGCTTTACAAAAGTAATTTGTGAAGTGTGTCTTTATGGTGGGACAATATTGAAGAGATAATGTTCATGATGTCAAAGCTAAACAATATTTACCTTTGTTTTCAAGTTGTACATGCAAGAGCTGTATTCTCCAATATTTGGAACATTTATGGTAAGCTTTGCAGTTAGTTCAAAATCAAGCTCAGAACAAAATTTAAAATTTGTAAGATGACAAATATCAGACATGCTCGAGTTGTGTTATGCTGAAATTGCATCAAGGTGTTTAAGTCCTTTGCTATATTGTGAGTTGACCCACATTAAAATAAACTGACATTTTATCATGTTTTACGAGGTAATCTTATTCTTGGTATTTATATTATACATACAGTGTATACTCTCAATGTAACTCTTCATAAATTGCCACCTTTCATGTTTTCATAATCTTAGTCCTAATCTGGATCAAACTGTGCTAATTTACTGTAAAACTTTCTACTACTCCAGATAGTGAAATTTTTGGTCCCAATCTGGGCCATGTTGTGTGTATTTCACCCTGTCCAGGCCACCCCAGTGGACCAGGAGGACCTTCTACCTGGTCTGAATAGCTCAGAGGATGGGGTAAGTCTAAGCAGTGTGTTAGTTGAGATATTGTGGTGGATGTGAAAGTGTGCTAGGTGTGACAGTGGTGTGCTTCAATAACTGTGAAATGATACCTGGTGTGGTGCATTGATAGATTTTAGTGTGTTACAGTTCATGTCAAATTAGAAGCAAAAGCTAACTGCTGGCTATGTGCAAATACCTTGTCACAACTGACAAGTTACAACTAATCATTTAAACTTAATCAGTGCAACTAACCATCATCTCAGCCCTATACTTCAGTGTTTAATCTTCCAAACAAAAGACCAAAATTATAAACAAAACATAGCTTAATTCCTACATCTATATGTCTGTCATCCATCTGTAAAAACCAGATGGTTTTGTGTCCACAGTGTTCACCTCTGGGAGGATGTAGGTTTGACCCCTTATGGGGATATGCCGGTTCATTATAAATGGTACTTGCTGTCTCCTGGCTTGGCACTCTGCACTTATAGGGTTGAGGCAGGATTATAGGTATCTGGTCTGACAGTGAAAGATATGCAGGTTTTCTGCGGCTCATACGTCAGCTGGGCTGCCTCCTCCTCGTGAATGTCTACAGCCAGTTTGAATCACAGGGCCCGAAAAATATGCTATGCATTTTGTAAACTGTACTGAGATGTTATGCCACGTGATATGTAAGAATCAGACTTCCCTTTTTTTACTTTACTTTTACCATCATTTCAGCCCTATACTTCAGTGTTTAGTCCTCCAAACGAGAGGCCAAAATTTCGGCAGATGTTTTCACCAAGTGGAGACTCTCCTTCACCAAGGTATGACACGTTTGGGCCACCGCCACCAATTCAGCCATCAGTACGGAGCCCTATTCCTCGTGTATCTTCTGTTCTGAATCCCATTCAGGAGGAATCATCATCAGCAGGTCGTACGCTGTCACAGTCTTCATAACCCATGGGTATAGTAGCCTCTGAGCTAGCTGTTATAAGGGGTTCACAGAGAGTGACACAGGGGTGCATACTTGCTGTAATATCTTTAAGAGAGACTTCAAATGAGGCTTTACGTCAATTACTCATGTACGTTTGGCAAACTGAAAACAAATTGATATAAAATTTGTTGAGGAATGTGCTAGGAGTTTTGGTCCCTCACTGAACATATCTGAAGTAAGCTTGTGGTCATCTTAGACTAGCAGTGACTGTGATATATTGAGGTGTAATGTTTTCATTGAGCACCACATGTAAGAAGATGCAAGAATAAGTGATGCTCACCACATGTTGGTTTCTGTCACTCACTTGAGCTTTAGAATTTGACGTTGTAAGGAGGTAAATACTTCAAGATGGATTTGGATGTTAAGGGCCATGTAGAATTATCAGACAGGGTTCTGGAAAGCAGAATTGTTTTGCATACCAAGTGATTGGTATATACATGTGATTAGAATCGTGTGAGGTACATTAATTTCTGTCAATTAAATGTATCATTATAGGGTGTTTATCTGCAATTTATTTGCGTATATATTCATTATATATTTACTGGCATATATAATGAATGATATGGCTGTCATAAAATTTGATTGTGTTGTACTTACAAGTAATATTTATGCCCATGCATTATCCTTGTACAATGCTTTAATCTTCATAAAAATATACTGATACTTTCTATTTTGTTAACATCCATGGTTTACTTGATTCATTTTACACTAATAGAATCATTATGTTGAAAAGAACAATTCAGTGTGGTATAAATAGTTGATATCTAGTATACAATGGATAGGCTTCATCAAAATAATTTAGTTTTTATTCTTTCCTATGTGTTTTTAATATAGGTTCTACAGAGGTTGTCTGAAGAACATTTAACATGTATGTATTAACCCTCATCATTTAAAGAGGCAATATGTGGGGTTTTGTTTCTCTTGAAACATTAGAACCCATACAGCCCTGTTGTCTTTTATGCATGACATGCTGCTTTGTGGTAAGACGACTCATTTCCATTATTTTGGGAGATCGCAGTTTCCTGCTTCAAGGAATTTTCCATTACTGGAATCATTCAGGCATAAATGGTTGAATCGGTTATCTTTTTTGTCGCACTTTTATAATTAAGTTTGAACTGGTGTAATTTTATAATCTTAAGACATTATAGACACATTTGCATAGTGATTTTATATTTATGTTTTCTGTTGTAAATTGGTCAGAATAATGTTAGTTACTGTAAGCAAATTTTGCATTTAGTTATTATAATTTTATCATATCTTTAATCATGATATTATATTTACAAATCATTTTGATATTAAATGTTACCTGGCTGTTAGTATAATGATTGTGCTTAAAGATTTAAAGAATTTAAATGGATTTATCTGTATTAGGTATGGGTGTAGAGGTTGAATAAGAACAACACTACATTATGTGAAGGACTAAACACTAAAAGATAACTTTGAATGAAGGTTTGATCTTGTGTTGTGATATATATGCTGATAACATTATGTTGTAAAAAAATTCTCTTTGTCCCCAGGTCGCAAATTTTCTCTGTCACAAACCAATATTATTTGATTCTCACAGATGCAATCTGACATCAAAACCTATCTAGGAGTATTAAAACTCTTTGTGTGTGACAAAAGAAAACAGTGATATGATATCACAAATACCAAATTGATGGAACTTATTTCAACAAAATATTCTCTCTTTTTGCTTTTTTACAGGATTGATTTATAGAAGTCGCCAAATAACAGTAAACAAATGTTTAGGATTACATAGCTACATATCAGTCAGTACTTTTATGTAACATGATAAAAATCTGTAGGAAGATTTAGTTCTTTGAATTATCTGTAACTCTAACCTAGTATTGGTAAGGTTCAGACATTGTTTGTTATAGAAATCTGTGGACATAATATATACAAGTTTTTAGATAAATTTGAAGCATTTCATTTTGTCAGCAAATATTATATCACAAGCTCAAACCCTTCACCTTTAAGTAAAATTGATATATGTAATCCTAATGTAACCAGACATTCTATGATTCTTCAAATATTTTGTAGAGTTCTCAAAGGAATGATGATAATTAAAGCCAACAGATGTGTCCATTTGGTGGGAGACATTGTTTGGTTTTGCTTTACTTAATCCAAACAGACATTTTGTTTTTTGTTTGTTTAATGTGTGAGTTTGTGAGATAGGTAACAGTTACAATAAATATGCTTGTAAAGGAATCTTTAAAAGATTCTCAAAATCCCATTTTTGCTTTTTCTTTTCTTTTTAAATATATAAAACTACTTATATGCTGTGATGAGTGCAGCAATGAAGCATTCTTCACAACATTGTGGTTGTTGAGAAGGTGAATGTGCCCATATATTTCTTACACAGCAATTTTTCAGTGACTGCTACCCAGAATAAAAGCAACTCTCATTTTGTGTTTCCTGGAATCAATAAGGCATGGGATACTAGCAGACGGTATTCATTTCTTTTGTATGTAATCTGTTTAGTTTGATTATGGTTATCTTTTCCTGGTATCAATGAGGAGGTTTTGCAAAACTGTGGCATATACATTTTCAAGGTTATCCTG